AGCTCAAAAGCAGTTTAAATCTGTCAGCTAAAAAGAAGGATACTGATATTTTCTCAGCAGCAATTCTTTTCAACAAAAGACTGAAAGATGACTGAATTTAAGAGCACAATTCAACCATGTTAATTATACTCAAGAGTTGCCCATCTTATTTACATAAATGTAGCAGTAATCAGGTAATTAGCTTCTTTGCTCTCAATAATTTATGTTTTTACAAAATTTGAGTCTCTAATTGCAGAAAAAAATACAAGATTCTTTAAGATTTTTGTGAGTTAAAATTGTAATTTGCATTTATCGTCTTGCAAATAAATTGTGCTTTTTAAAAGAAGCATAATGTGCATCTGTGTCAGTGTATCCTTATGTTCTGTTGTGCAAGGTTTGGACATGATGAATGAAGTTTATATTCTAAAATGAGGATTTTCAGGCAACTCATTTACTTAAATCCTCTTGATTTCAATTCATGGCAAAATCTGAAATAATTTATCCCACAGAATTCAATGTATAGCACATATGCAAGTTAAACTATTGCTTTCATGTGAATTTAAATTACTTGCTTTAAATCTCCACAAAATATAAGAAGAAACCAGTTGAATTTCAAAGTTAACTGGCTGTGAATACTATCCCTCTTACAGGAGAACTCTCTAAGCAACTGCTGTTTCTAAACTCATTTCCTTAGGAAACCTGTATAAAAACCTTTCATAAGACAAGCTGGATTTGATTCAAAGTAGAGAAAAAGGCTTGGCTTTGTTCTTGGTGAGTAGCCATTATATGCTCACATTTGTAGAACATGTCTCCCCTGACATCAGGCTGTAGGCTTGCCTTTGTAATTCAAGTCTGTGGAGAAGACATGAAAGATGCTACACTAAAATTGTATCTTTTTACAACAGAAAATTACTGATAAAGAAATACAGCCCTATCCCTCCGTCCTTCCCTATCCAACTCAGTTCCTTGATTGCGATTCCTGAGAACAGAGAGTTTACTTTATTGTTAGAATTTTGCAGAGCAGTACTAAATAATTTAGTGAATACAGTAGGTGTTTCTGTGTTGTCACCAGGATCATTTCACAATGCTACACTTTTCAGAGGCTGGTGAAATGTACTTCTGGAACAGTATCAGCTTTGCATACTCACAGCCATCATCTCCCAGTTTGTCAAACCATGGAATTTGAGGCTCTAATACTGCATTGTTCAACCTTTTTGATGAAGCAGATGGCTTGATAGTTTTCAACCTTCCAGAAAACACTGAATGCCTCTCTCCCCATCAGGGGACTGATTCTGCATGCTCTCATGTGCAAGGCCAGTGCTCCCAGAGATACTAGGCTCCTTGTGCACAGCCAGCCAGAAAGATTGCATGCATTCAGTCGGCCAACAGGTGCTTCAGGAACCTCCAGATGTTGAGCAAAGATGAATGCAAAGTCCTGCATCCAGGAAGGAACAGAGTATGCACCAATGCAGGCCAGGGACTGACTTTTGGGAGCAGCTCTGCAAAAGATACCTGAGCTCCTGGTGAACCAGTGAACCTGAATTCAGCAGTGTACCCATGCAGTGATAAAGGCTAACCACATACTGGGCTACACTGAAGACAAGTGCTCATTCCCCTCTGCCCAGGCCTTGTGGGTCTCAATCTGGAGCAGGATGCCTGGTTTAAAGGCTGCAGTATGTGAGATATAAACTACACAGAATCTAGAAAAGGTCAAGAGGCCGAAGCACCTGCCCAGGGACCTTGGCCAGCAATGCTCAGACTGGGACCTGCAAGCAGTTGCACAGGACAAACAAACAGGGCTTTCTGCCTGACCAATCGATCAGCTGTGACTTCCCTCTTGAGAAGGACAGAGGTAGCAAACATAATGCTGGAAGGGGATAGTCTACCACTGGTTCTTAAATATACCCCTCTAGCCAGACCCACTTTATTTTGCTGTTTGCTCCGTCTCACCTGTTGAACATCTCTGCTACATACCTGCCTGCATGCTTGATTTGTAGTTTCATCCTCTCAAGGGAACTGAGAGCAGCCTGTGTGCAAACATCCTCTGGCCGCAGATTTAAGCATAAGTTCTAGCTATAATATCATCTTCTGTAACTGGCTGAGGAATATTATTTCTTTACTCTCATACATGAGGAAAATTACTTATCCAGAACCACTAGTGCTAAAATGACACAAAAGACAAATAAATCACAAAGTATCGATCACCTTGAAATGACACCAGCAATTATTTCCATACAGCTCCCTGACAGTGACTCCAGCTATTTTCTGTTCTACTCATCCTACCATACAAACTGATACTGATACCCACCAGCACGAAGGAATAGGCAGCACATCCCCTGTTTATAAGCCCTTGAAAAGCATGCTGATTTTCTCACAGGCTCTTCTGCAGCTGCTTCTGCCGTATCTGAGAAGGGATAAATTGATTACTTCAAGCAGTTTTGGCACAGGGTGGTGCGGGGATGCTGTCTGAAAAGCATCAGAGGCTGATGTGGACCAGCAGTGCCATCCAGTGGGACACAATGAAACACAACTCCCCTCTGAAGCTGTAGGGGAGCACGGAGTCCCCACTGCCACCCCTACTTAGACCCGAAGGTCTACTCCATTAGAAGAAATGGCGAGAAACCCCACAAGTTTTGGGAACACTGTCAATGTGCTGCTGCCTCTGACCTGTGAGCTGGGTAGGTACCCTCACGTACTGCCTTTGAGATGGCAGCAGGCACTTCAGTTATTCGCAGTTTCAAAGGCTTGAAAATTAGCACCCCCACAGCCCCTTTCTTTTTGGGAAAGCTGCTCAAGTGAAGCCTCAGTAATTCAGTTTTAGAAATCACAGGTATTGCCATTTTCACGTTTTGCTTTTATTTTGTGAATGCTGTTTAGATAAACATCCTGTGGGCAGGAAAGTGATTTTCTTTATAATACCATTAGAATCCTTCATCACAAGATTTCTGGGCTCCAGATTCTGATTCCCCCCCCCCCCCCAGTTTTATTTCACACAAATGCATCACAGTTGCCTTTACTGTGATAAATACAAAACCAAATCTATTATATATACATATATACACATACACATGTTTAAAAATACATTTTAGTGATGTTCTAATTCCATATCAAACTAATTTTGAATTCGTAAAAATTTAAGTGGCAAGCATAATTGACTTAGAGTTCTGAACTAGTAGACTTGGGAATTTAAATAGTAGGAAGGCTTTTAGGTGAAATCTAAGACGTAGTGCTAGGTGAAATCTGCAGGGCATCCATCTCTGCAGCTATCTGACACATGAATTCTTAACAGGCTGGTTGCCTCTTCCATAGCATACCTCTGTGCATGTAAGCTGTTCATCTGCACAGCACACACACTCATCTACCTTGTCTGCATTGATCCACCGCAGTACTCAGTCACACAAACTACTCCACCATCAGCTCTGCAATTCCTAAGAAGCTGGAGGAGTATCAGCTCTGCACCTAGGATTTCCTGGGTTTGTTTCCTAGGTTGCATCCTTAAAACTTGCAATTCTTAATTCTCTAAGTTACCTATCTTTAACCTAATAAAACTGATGTTCTTTAGATTACGAAAAATGAAAATCCCTACATTATCTTGACCATTTAAAATTACAGTGAATTACTGTATGTTAATCAGAAAACATACAATAGTATTGTTCATTAACAACTAATGATGACAATTATAATGTTATCTGTTATGACAGCATAATTGCAGACATTGTGTGTGTGCACATGTATGTGTGAAGATATGTGGGGCTTAACACACTGAGAAAGACTGGGAATACTGTTCTTTAAAAATTAATTTATTCCCTATGAAGTAAGCATAAGAAAGATTTTGCATTAAAAAAATGTATTTGTTGTAGTTAACATTGCAACTGGTTGCTGGTTTCAACACCCTACAGACAGATCATTACGGAATTATGATGACTAGCAGGAAAATCACATACAGCCAGCCAGAAAGCATGGAATTTTCCCCCAGATACTTACAAGCTTTTGTGTCTTCTCTATTTTAAAGGGCAAAGCACACATACCCTACTAAAAAAAATCTGCAAAACAAAAGCAACCAAGGATAAAACACAGGATTACCATATTATAACTTCCCATGGATTTTCCCTTGAAACTCCCTTATGTCCTGGTTAGAAAACATACAAAATTATCTAGAAAGGCGAGTTGTGCAAAGATGGAAATAAAAATTAAAAAATAAAATAAAATAAAATACACAGTTCCTGTGTCTTTTTTTATTTAAAAATATAAAAATTTCTCAAATGCTTAAAGGGAATGTTTCTGACATAGCTGTGTTGTGCATCACATAAACCAGACTGAGGGCAGTTACAGCTGAATACAGTCATATATTTAGGCCCAAGACAAGATTGTAAGACTTGGAGATGAGAAAACAACAACAAACAAACAAAAAAAAAAAAACAACAAAAAACCACCTAGAAAACCAGAACAAAACAAACAAATGCATAGGCAAAAAATCCAAAAAATATTTTACAAGGCAAAGACTAGAACTATCCCAAATGACGTTAACAGAGAAAACGCAATTCCAGCTCTAAAATGTTGCTGTCCTCTTTATAAAAATACTTGTAACCATGTAGAAAATTTCAAACCACAACTACTCAAATAACTGATAGGTCCTATGTATTCAATAAATGTCCTGAAGCACTAACAATTCTATTCAACATTTTCACACTACATCAAAGGTTCAAAATAATAATTTCACTGCCACAGAAAACAGAAGATCAGTTGAAGTATTTTGTGGTTGGCTATTAAATATGATCACAAACAAGAAACAACTCATATATGGTACCTTGTTTGCTTACTTCTAAGAATTTTGGTCTGGAATCACTTATTGTGTAGGTGCTATTTCTTGTCTTGGCATTGTTTCTGGAAAAAAATACATGGGAATTTACTCTTTTGAAAGAGATAGTGTCTTTCTGTTAACCTATCACCATACAACATACAGTGCATCTTCTTTGGTTGGGAACCGTCACTGTCAAGATCTCCACCAGAAGTATTTAGTAAATGAGCGATGTGTGCCATAGTGTTAGGTATACTTACAGAAGAGATTAGATTATCAGATATACTGAGATTGAATCTTAAATGCCCCATCTTGAAAGAAAGAAAAAAACAGAACACCCAGAGTGCCCCCCAAGTAACTTCTGCATCAGCTGCTGGAATCCAGGTAATCCTACTTGTACTTCTAATTCAGGACTACAGTTGGAAGAACATTAATTATTAAAGTATGTGCAGAGAAATACATGCAGGTTTGTCTTTAAAATCTCCAATAGTGCTCTGTCAGGACACAAAACCTCTATACAGTAAAACAATGCACAGTTCCATTACTGTGCATTTTTACAATTTGCCTCTTCCAGGAGCCACTCAATTCCATTTAGCAATCCAGCTAAAGTTGCAGCTACAGTGTCCTGCACCTGTGAAAATAAAAAAAGCTGCAGTGGAGATCACAGAATTACAAAATGGTGGGGGTTGGAAGTGACCACATCTAGTCCAACCCTCTTGCTAAAGCAGCTTCATGTAAAGCAGGCTGCACAGGATTGTATGCAGGGGTGTTCTGAGCGTCTCCAGAGGAGACCCCACAACCTCTCTGGGTAGCCCATTCCAGTGCGATCACTCTCACAGTGAAGTCCTTCCTCATGTTCAGGTGGAACTTCCCATGTTTCAGTTTGTGCCTTTTGACCCTTTTCTTATCACTGGGCCCCACTGAAAAGAGCCTGTTCCTGTCCTCTCCATATCCACCCTTAGGACATTTGCACCCCTTGGTAAGATCCTCTCTCAGACCTCTCTCCTTCAGGTTAAACAGCCCCAGCTCTCTCAGACTACAGAGATAACATATAACAAGATCTAACATTTTAGCATCACTCCATCTATCCTTAAAGTGAGAAATACTCATACCAAGTCAAAATTTTTATCACTGGTTTAATGGTCCCTTAGACAAAAGAGATTTCTTAAGAGCTAGGTACAAAAAGAAAATACTACTGTACAAAATTAATTGCAAGACCCATTAGGCAATCCTTTCATTCTTTGTGTCAAGGTGAATTCTATTCATTCAATCAGCTATTCTGGAACATTATACTTACTTTATGAATGAGAATCTACTTAAAAATTCTTCTCATAACTCTTAAAAGTAAAAAAGCTGCTAGCTTTACAGTTCAATGCACATTCTTCTCAGATTTTGTAACGCAGTATAAAGAGGTATGTTTTTAAAAAAGCCTGTAAACATTTTCCTTATGAAATCAAAGGAATTAAATCAGAATTTTGGGGGGGTTTACTAAGTATTACTCTTTGGCTACACAACACCACAAAAAAGAAATTATGTGTGGCTGAGACATATTGATATATACTGTGCTTGACAAGCATAAAGGAACAGGTTCAGGGCCTCACATGCTAGGTAAAAACTGATTTGTCAAAAACTCATCAAGCAAGTGACAATTAACTGTGCCCTGAAAATGGCAGAAAAATCTACCATGTGTCCAAGACCCTGGATCATGACTCAGAAAATTCATATTTAAATTAACTGAAGCTTCCTTTTAGTCTCTTCATGACCAGCATTTTGTCCTTCCTCACATTCTGGGTCCATCTTAACTTTCTCGTGTGTAAGTGGGCAAGCCACTTAGCTCCCCTATGTTCAGCCAGGCTAATGCTTCATCCTAGGGGACCAGAGAAACAAAATTCTTCACTTCAGTGGAGACCTCATGTACTAGTTTTGAAAGCTGCACACTTGCTTAGGCAGGTACAGCTCAGAAATACAACAAGCCTAAATTAAATTTCAGCCACAGAGATATGGGAAAAAAAATAATAAAAGGTTTAAAAGCAGGTACCATCCAGGGCCGATGTAGCAGATTTAGTTGCAACTGATGTGCCATGTAAACACACGGAATTCTTTTCACATCAGTGTGAGAGACACAAGACAAAACCAGTAGAGGTCTGTACGGAGGCCCAAGGGCTGGATCAATCATTGCCAAAATACAAGCCAATTCCTCTTGACGATCATGCTCTAGGAAATAATTTTTAAATACAAGAGTATTAAACACATGCAAATCACAAGGAACTATCTTTTTTACAAGAATTTACAATTTCACAGGTGAGGAAACAGAGGGCTGGAAGGGACATGACCTTCCTTGTCCCAAGGGTGGATCATCCACATTCATGTCAACACACAGATGGATCATGTAATACTTGGATATTATCAAAAGATCTCCACGGATTCTACAGGCAGCCTATTCCCATCCTCAGCATCTGCGTGTTTTTCAAGTACCTCAAAGAGATCAAAACTGCAATAAGCCACTAATAAACGCTGCAAAGTCAGCAGCCCTTTCCCACTGGCCATACTTTTCTCCTTCACTCTTTCTCACTCTCTTCTGAGGAATCCCCTTCTCTCCATTTAAAGTTTATGAACATAAAGACAATTATCAGAATAGGTATTTGGCTTATCCTCTTATAGGACTACCCTGATTTGGACCAATTGCGTCTTTACTGCAGTTTTACTGGTGAAGGTTCTATTTTGAGGCTATTAAGGCTATTACGCCAACACCAATTCATTTCAGGCTGCTTCTAATAGCCATGCCTAGGGTTTTTTGGTTTGGGGTTTTTTTTTGGTTTTGTTATTTTATTGGTTTTGTCTGTTTTGTTTTTAATCTAGGTCATTTTACTCCCGTAGCTTAAATAACAACCTTATCAGTATCTGTCACAAGAAAAAGTGCCATAACTCCTCAAAGGGAAATGAGGGAGAGTATCTCAGATAGGGAACCTCTTTTACTGGATAACCCATGAGGAAATAGCATTAGTAAAGCTAATTAGTGAAGATATTTTTAAAGAATCAGAACATGGATTTTGACATATTGCACATTCTTTGCATCTTATGACACTCCAGTCATTTGCAAAATATGAATAGATAAAGAGAAAACACTTACTTTTATGAGCTTCTGCATTAGCAACGTAAATGAATCCATCCACTACTTCGCACACCTTTTTCACTTGAGCTATTACACTGTAGTGCACGGCTTGCTGGTCCCCTATGATGCTGTTCTCTTGGTAGAACATCTTATTCACAGCAACAACTTGCTCTGCCTTTGCTCTCCTCCTTTCCACACTGAAAGATATTTCATTATTTCAGCAGTCAGGTTATTTGAGAAAGCAAAAAGCACATTTTGTGAGTCCTGGCAGCACAGGAGAGGGAAAGAAAACAGCCTGAGCCAGCAAAACAGTTTTCTTTCTCCCCGCCTGCTCCCATCCTTACTTTTTTTTCTAGCATGCCTACGCAGATGGTTAGCAATCTGAAAGATGCATATGAAACTACCCCGCAGATGAGTTTATACAGTGCTGCAGAAGGGACTCAATCAATGCATGAAGTGGGACAGAAGCACCTGTCATGTATTTGTCAAAGCAATTTACTGCGTGTAAAGTTTGGAAAAAGTTTTCATGGACATTTATTATGCACACATGAAAATTTAACAGCTGGAAAAAGTGACAATATGCATTGAAGCTTCAGATTGTAAGAGACAGCCATGCATGTGAACGCACACATAAAAATCACATTATGAAAATATGAGGAAAAGTATAAACTAACCTAGAAATTGTACTTACTCTTTTTTTTGGTGAAGACCGTATCTTACCTGGTGGTTGAATACAATGTCAGAATATTGAATTTTTGATTGTTATTAAGCTGAAAACTGATTCCCGATCCAATTCCTACAGGGAAAAATGATTATATGAGGTTACAACCAATTGGTTGCTGAATTCAACCAAGTGGTAGGCTGAAAATGTCAGTGATGGTATAAAATGGGTTCATCCAAGCCTACGGTGTTGCTGTTAAGGGTAGCATATTTTCTATTTTACAATTAAATTTTATACATGCTCTAACTGATATAATAATTTAACTAAAATCTATTAAATGGTATTAAAACATCACAAGAAGGAATTTCTATATTTCTGATACTTGTAATGAACCTTGAAACCTAAATCAGAGAGGAGCCAGACTTGCATTCTTCAGCTGAAATAGGGAAATGAAAGGCTCTAGTCTATTTACTACAAACTGTATTGAAGAGGACATGAGAGAGAAAAAGGATAACGCTACTAAAACAGTATTTTCACACCTTCTACACATAGTGTAATTATTAAAATTCTCCTGTGCTGAAAGAAACACTAGTTAAAATTAAGAAATTTTTTACTCTGGTTTGGACTGAAATAAAATTACAGATGTTCAAGCCTATTTTTTTTAAACATTGAAAAAAAATCCTTCCCTCCTCCTGTAACTCTTCTAAACTAAATTTAAACCATTTGACACCAAAATACTGAATCATATAAAGGATCATTCTTGACTTCTTGTATAAAAACAGAAATGTGGTTTTTAGCCACTTACTGCAGGCAGTGCATAAATAAAGTTCTGTCTGCATTTATCTATTACAAAAACAGGCATAACATGGAATTCAGGATCAAAATAGAACTATAAGAAACAAAATGAATCCTCTGACATTGTCCAAATTTAATCATAAATTCACTGAAGCTATAATTTTCTCTCAAATGCTTACTGCAGTTATCCAAAGTAATACAAAGACAGACTATTTTTCTACCATTATATTTTCTACTATTATTATGAGTTTCAAGCGAAGAATAAAGCATCCTTTTTCTCCATTTCTCCCCAAAGTTTTTTCTGCTAGATTTATATAACAAAAAAGCCAAAAACAAAAACAGCATTACCGTGAATTTGCCTTTGAGGTAGGCCAGCCAGCAGCAGAATTTCTGGGCATGTCATCATCTTTTGTACTAAAGAGTTGTCTAGCTCTTCCAAACCTGGCCCAAACATAGCAAAGCGAGGTTCTGCCTGAGTGACCAGTGATTGCAAAAAGGAAGTGATGGCCCCATACCGGGAACGGCTTGATTTCAAACTTCTTCTGCTCTGGGGACAGCTTTTTTTGTATCTGTGTAAAATAGACGTAACTAGAAATTAAACACAAATACAAAAGAGATATTAACCAAACAACATAAATTGATTCAGGTCCCGCACTTCTCATGCTTTGTCACAACTCAAGCACACATAAAAAATGATGGAAGTTCCAAACTGATGGTTTCAAGCAGGAAAGGCATTAGTCCTTCTGAAGTCCAAATACTGACTTCTCATACCTTAGTATGTCTGTCTATGGATCTTTTAATTTACTTTAAAATATAAAATAAAATAAAGTTACAAATTCCCCACCCTCACTGAACACAATTGGTGAAATAACAAACAAGCTGATGAGTCACATACAATATAAAAAGTATGAGACTTCTGAGTGCATTTCAAACCTCAATTAGACTGGTTTTGAACGTATTTAGGTGACACTACCTAAAAATGACCATTTCCCCTGTAGGCACAGAGAACACATGTTGTGAGACAGGTGTTGTCTGCAAGCTTATGATGTGCTCATTTGATGCAGAAACTGGAAGGCATGGAAAGGCTTCGGTAATCAAACGGAAGAGGTAACAGTCATGCAGACATCCTAGTGAAGTAGCTTCAGTCTCTGCTTCTGTGGTCACAGTAGGCTGCTGCTGGACAAACTTGTTCTAGGAAACCTTAAACATGTGTTCCCCTACACCCAAACTGAGATGCTTCAGCTGACCTCAGCAAAGCCATTAAGTGCTCACAGACACAATGGGAATCAGCAGTAGGTGGTTCCCAATATGTGATTCAGCTGAACAGTATTCAGGCCTAAAGAGATTTAAATCCAATGTTCAAAATCAGACGATATTTTGCACTTCAAATTCTGGGTATGTTCCTCCCCCATCTGTAACATATCACAGTATCACAGTATGCTACAGATTGGAAGGGACCTCAAAAGATCATCTAGTCCAATCCCCCTGCCGGAGCAGGAACACCTAAATAAGGTTACACAGGAACGTGTCCAGGTGAGTTTTGAATGTCTCCAGGGAAGGAGACTCCACAACCTCCCTGGGCAGCCTGTTCCAGTGTTCTGTCACCCTCACTGAGAAGAAGTTTCTTCTCAAGTTTAAGTGGAACCTCTTGTGTTCCAGTTTGTACCCATTACCCCTTGTCCTATCATTGTTTGCCACTGAGTAGAGCCTGGCTCCATCCTCGTGACACTCCCCCTTTATATATTTATATACACTAATAAGGTCACCCCTCAGTCTCCTCTAAACTATAGAGACCCAGCTCCCTCAGCCTTTCCTCATAAGGGAGATGCTCCACGCCCTTAATCATCTTAGTTGCCCTGCGCTGGACTCTCTCCAACAGCTCCCTGTCCTTCTTGAACTGAGGGCCCCAGAACTGGACACAATATTCCAGATGCGGTCTCACCAGGGCAGAGTAGAGGGGAAGGAGGACCTCTCTCGACCTACTAACCACCCCCCTTCTAATACACCCCAGGATGCCATTGGCCTTCTTGGCCACAAGGGCACAGTGTTGGCTCATGGTCATCCTGTCGTCCACTAGGACCCCCAGGTCCCTCTCCCCTACACTGCTCTCTAACAGGTCGCTTCCCAACCTATACTGGAACCTGGGGTTGTTCCTGCCCAGATGCAGGACTCTACACTTTCCCTTGTTATATTTCATCAAGTTATTCCCTGCCCAACTCTCCAGCCTGTCCAGGTCTCGCTGGATGGCAGCACAGCCTTCTGGCGTGTCAGCCACTCCTCCCAGCTTAGTGTCATCAGCAAACTTGCTGATAGTACACTCAATTCCCTCATCTAAATCGTTGATGAATATATTAAATAATACCGGTCCCAGTACTGACCCTTGAGGCACTCCACTAGTTACAGGCCTCCAACTAGACTCAGCCCCATAGACTACAACTCTCTGGCTTCTCTCCTTCAGCCAGTTCACAGTCCACCTCACTACCTGATCACCCCGACCACACTTCCTCAATTTAGCTGTGAGGATGCTGTGGGAGACTGTGTCAAATGCTTTGCTGAAGTCAAGGTAGACCACATCCACCGCTCTACCATCATCCATCCACTGTGTTATTTCCTCATAAAAGGCTAAGAGATCGGTCAAGCATGATTTCCCCTTGGTGAAGCCATGTTGACTGCCCCTCATAACCCTCTTATCCTTGATATGCCTTAAGATGGCACCAAGGATAAGGTGTTCCATCACTTTCCCAGGGATGGAGGTGAGGCTAACCAGTCTATAGTTACCCAGGTCCTCCTCCTTGCCCTTTTTGAAGACTGGAGTGACATTTGCTTTCCTCCAGTCCTCAGGCACCTCTCCCGTTTCCCAAGACTTGGTAAAGATGATGGAGAGTGGTCTAGCAATGACTTCCGCCAGTTCCCTCAGCACCCGCGGGTGCATCCCATCTGGACCCATGGATTTATGGATGTCCAGATTGCTCAACTGGTCTCTAACCCATTCCTCATCGACTAAGGCAAACCGCTCCGTTGACCTGACTTCATCTGAGGTCTCAGGGGTATAGGGCTCTTCAGGACTGCCTGCAGCAGAGTAGACAGAGACAAAGAAGGCATTCAGTAACTCTGCCATCTCTGCATCTTCTGTCACCAGGGCACCCATCCCGTTCATCAGTGGGCCTACATTGCCTCTGGTGTTAGTTTTGTCTGCCATGTATTTGAAAAAGCTCTTTTTGCTGTCCTTGACCCTTCTCGCCAGGTTTAATTCTAAGGAGGCCTTAGTCATCCTAGCTGTCTTCCTACATCCTCTAGCAGCAGCCTTGTACTCCTCCCAAGTGGCCAGCCCCTCCTTCCATGACCTGTAAACTCTCCTCTTCCACTTGAGCATACCCAGCAATTCCCTATTTAGCCACGCAGGTCTCCTGGCCCTCTTCCTTGACTTCCTACGGGTCGGGATGCTCTGATCTTGAGCTCGAAAAAAGCAATCCTTGAATTCCAACCAACTATCTTGGGCCCCTTTACCTTCAAACAGCCTAGCCCATGGGATTTCCCCTAGCAATTGCTTGAAAAACATACAGATGAAAAGCACAGAGATTGCAGAGGTCAGGGCAGTTATCCTGAAGCAACAGCTTCATGAAATCAGGTCGTAAAAAACCTGTAATCAAAACAATTAAGAAAAACAAAACAAACAAAAAAAAAAAACGACCACCACAAAAACTAATCTATTTAAGAGATCTGCTCAGTCATCCAAACACATTATGTGTTGTTACACTTTTCAACTATACTAGCTGAAACCACAGTCTGTCTTACAGCTATTGATCTAAAGCACTACTTGTTATTCTGTGCACATCCAAAGAAACCCTCTTTTTTTTTGCCCCCCCCCCCCCCCCGGTCTTCAAGGTAAGATAAAAAAAAATAAAATTCATTCCACTTGCTGTAAAGACTCCTTAGTACTTTTATTAAAGTAAGAAATCATGTCATTGTACTGAGAGTGAAGAACACATCATTATCAAGACTAACAGTACACACAGATTCTGAGAGGACAGTTATTTCTGTGGCATAATAAACATGCAGTTTACAGAGGGTTTTATTTTTTTTGTAATCTTAGCTTTGACTGTTCCAACATTTTACATTCTTTGTTCCAAACAAAAAGAGCTGAACAAACTGCCGAACAGGCAACCGTTATTTTTAAAATAAACAGTGGACTTCAGACCCATCAAATATTTAAGCAGTAGCCTAGAGCACAGAGTGTTACTGCTGTAAATATGAAACATGCCTCTGGGCTGACTATTACTGCTGTAGTAAGTTGTGCAAGAGGATATGAAGATACTTACAGTGCCATGTAATCATACAGTGCATTATCGCTGACCTCTGAAAAGGCTTTATTAAAAACCTCGACATTTGGGAGTGATTTCCAATCAACAGATGTCCAAAAAGGGAGATCCCTCAGGAGAAAATACCTCCATAACAACGGATCTTGCACAGCAGCCTTCCAGTAACAACTCGTGCTTCCCAAATTGCACAAGTCTTGGGGCGAGAGATAAGACATGATGTTCAGCTGCACGTCGATCTAAAAATCGTCG